CCACAGTCCTCGCCCACAGTCCTCGCCACAGTCCTCGCCCACAGTCCACGCCGCAGCTCAAATCCCACAATTTCATGTATGCATGTAAAAGTGTTAAAACGTGACAATAAAAGTATGTCTTCTTCTTCACAAACATTTCTGTGTCCTTCTCCGCCATCTAGAGGTTGTTGGTGTGTACTGCATCAAAGTGTGTCACCTGTAGAACAGGAAGTTCATTCTCAGCTGAACCTTTAAACCTCGTGGTCACTGAAATCATTGAAATCATGAAATCAGGGTTTTTTAATCTCATTCATACAAAACATTAACGACACGATGAGAAGAACCAGAGACAAACCAGAGGAAACACTTCAGCCCAGGGCAGAAACCTACAAGAAAACTAAAATCGAAATAAAACAAGAACAGTCCAATGATGCAGACGTGGTGTTTTGATCCAGAAGAAAGTTCATGTGTTCATTTGCTCTCGTCTGGATGATTATTGTGATATTCACCTGGCGCTTCAGGGCTGTTCCAAACCATTTGAATCATTTCTAAAGTTCCTCATCGATAACATTTCTTCTCTCTGAATGTTGTGTGATCTTCAGCCAGGTCCAGATTCAGGTTCACATCAACCTGAGGAAACCTGAACAGTGAATCTTCTGACGTCACAAATATAAAACGGTGGAGGAGCAGTTCAGGTGAATGACTTTTACTGAGTGTTCAAATCAGATGAATATGAAATGTGATGGATCAAACGTTCTCATTAAAGGTGAAACAATCGATACGCTCACTGATTTTAATCTGTTGTGATGCTGGAGGCTGCGATTAGAAAACATTTCTGCTGTTGTTGGAAACACACGTTTTTATTCTTACCTTATCTCATCTCATCTTAACTTATATCATCCTTTATTACCTTATCTTATTTTTACCTATTCTTACCATATCTCATTTAATACCTTATCTTATCTCATCTCACTTTATCTCATTTGATCTCATTTAATACCTCATCTTATTTAATCTGACCTTATCTTATCTTAAACTATCCTCTGATGAGTTTTTGTTCTTTCAAACCAAACAGGTGAACTTTCCTGAGGACGTTACCATAGAAACAGAGTCAGTTGATCGGAAGTGTCTTTTTCAAACAGAGTTGGACCATTTTACTCAGACTGACCTGCAGAGAACCAGGTCTCATAGATATATACAGTATAAATACAGTATATATACTGTATTTATACTGTATATAT